CGGCCCTCCCTGGGGAGATGCGGTGGCCCTAAAGCAGGGCCTGGGCCGGGTCAAGTCGGGAGGAGAGAGGGCTAATATGGGGGAGGTTATGGGCTTTCAGAGAGGGGACTGGGGGACCCAGGGCAGAGAGAGCGGGGGGAGGCATGAAGCAGGAAACCCCCAGATCAGGAATCAAGACACCAGGATTCTGGTCAGGTTTCTGCCACTAACAAGCTGAGTGACTCTGGGTGACTCTCTGCCCCCTCCAGGGCTCAGGTTTTCTGTCTGGGGCATGACTGGGATGTCTGAGTCTTCTAATCCTGAACATGCAGAGCGAGCGGCAAAGGGAGCCAGTGCCAGTCCCAGCTTCACCACTAGGCTCTGTATAGCTTTGGGCAAGTGACCTTCCCCTAGGGACCTCGATCTCCCCAGAATGCCTGGGGAGAGGCACTCATCAAGACTTAAGGCTTCCCCCCACTCTACAAGCGCTTCTCCAGGCTTCGCTGGCTGGGCACAGACCCCCACCTGCCCCTCCCCATCTTGCTCCCCTTCTCCCCCCAACCCCTCAGGGAGCCTTACCTGGAGCGGCTGCTTCTTGGGATGAACTGCGTACAAAGGCAAGAAGATTCTGACCTGTTTTATATTGTCCCCAGGACACAGGGCAGCGTGCGGACCCAGGCAGCTGGGCAAAGGTCACCTGCTGATCAATGTAGACCAGACCCTGACAGAGGCACCCAGGCCTGCTGGGAGTTGGGAAATCTCTAGAAAGCTGAGGGTGCCCACCCCACTCTCTGCCACCACTATACTTGGAACCGGGGCGACCCCATTCCTTCTGACCAGCCTGGTTCCCCAGGGAGAGGCTGGTGAGATGGGAGAAGGGATTGGGGGACAAACATTGTCCTTTCGCCCTGGGTTTCCAGGTCCTTCCCCACTTTAAGCCCTGACAACAGCCTGCGAAGTGGGGGTGAAGTGAGAGGGGAATTGGCTTCTTCAGACTTGGACACAACTCCCCAGCTGGCTGGGCTGGGGAGTCTAGAGTGAAGTCACAGAAGACCTGTGGGCAGGGGCTTGTGCAGGAGGTGGGACACAGTTGAGTGCCCACAGCCCCCTCCCCAGGATCTCCATCTCTGGGCTTCAGTCCCGGGTGCAGCTGACCCAGAAATTTCCCTGAGCTCTTTGATCCCAGAGCAGGGGGTGGTGGAGGAAGATCAAAGGCTGCTGAGCCCCAGGCCTTTATCCTACCGCCCCCTCTATTCAGCTTGCCCTCTGGACTCACTGATAACGTCCCCAGGGGGCAGGATCCTGGCTCCTGGTTGAGGCCCTCCCCTGACTGTGCAGCTGGGACTGAGGCCAGCGCTGAGTACCTCTCAACCTCAGGCTTCCGCGTCCTCAGCTTGGAGATACCAGTCGCTGTAGTCCTCTGGCTGGGCAGACAACTGGAAGGAACCAGGTTTGGGGTGAGGCTGGTCCAGTGGATAGAGGGGGCCAGACAAGCTCTAAGGGGCAGTCGGCTGTCCAGTATAGGTCTGGGCCCTTCCCACGGTGAAGTGTCCTCTAGGCCCACACTGAGAGCTGTAGCCTGGATGGCAGGATCAGGGAGCTCTGTCTTCTGGATGTGAAGACTTCAGAGTCAAGAAATTTTCAGTTTAAATGATGCTTTTGGCACTTACTTATATGACCCAGGTCCAGAGAGCTAACATCTCAGTGCCTTGATGTTCTCCTCTGTAAAATGGGGCTAGACTACTGATATGCCAGTACTGTAAAAATGAAAGGGTTCGTTGGCCACTCATGTCCTACTCTTTATGACCACATGGATTGTAAACCACCAGACTTCTCTGTCCATGAGATTCTCCAGGCAGAATACTGGAATGGTTGGCCATTTCCTCCTCCAGGGGATCTTCCCGACCCAGGGATCAAACCCAGGTATCTTGTATTATAGGTGGATTCTTTACCAGCTGAACCAGAAGGGAAGGCCAGAATTCTGGTGAAATATACATGAGATAGGTACAAAGTCCATGAAGGGGGCTCGATAAATCTCTCCTTTCTTATGAACACCTGTCCTTTCTCAGACAGCATAGTCTAAAGTCAGGAGGAGCCTCCAATGTAGAAACAGGGCTTTTGGCAGGTGGCCTTCTCCTCAAGAAGAAGCAACTAAATAAACCATGTGAAATCAGAGGCCCAATAAAGTGACTACCTTCAGAATTCTTTATCTGTGGCTGAAACTTGAAATTTCTCCTTAGAGCTTTTTTCCCTTGACTGAGACCTGGTTATCTTTAAAACTGCAAATAGATTCCTATGAAGTAGGTATTATTAAGCCCATTTTAATAGGTAGAAACCTAAGGCAGGGCTGGAGACATACCCAGGTGCCCATATTCCATCCATGGCAGAGTTGGGAACCAGAAGCCAGGTCTTCTAATACGCACACTGGGACCAAACCTCATGGAGAGATGAGGCCCTTGGAGGATTATCAGTCACTCAGAGTGCATCAGTTTCGGCCTCCTCCTGAGCACAGACTGTGGTGATGGGGCGGGGAGGAGAGGAAGGTGATTGGGAGGTCCTGAAGGATTTGGACTTTGGGGAGAGATGGCAGCCGTGTCCACTTCCCTCTTCATTCTGATCTGTTCCTTCTCCCCAGAAGTGAGGGTCACAGTGGGAGTCCAGATTCCAGGCTGGGCTGGGACATGCTGGGGTGGACTGGCTGGAGCCCTTGGCCCTGGTTCCTCCAACTCCCCTGCCATGTGTGTGGAGCGTCTGGAGGAGGCCGCCCTCCCTCTCCTGGGTCGCAGTGGGCCAGTGAGCCCAGGGAGGTCAGAAGATGTGGGCGGAGAGAGCCAGCAGCGTGGTGTCAAGCTGGGTAGAGAACCAGAGAGTGTGGCCTCTGCAGCTGGGTTGAAATGCCCTGGGCCGGGACCTGACCTCATTCCGAGGGCTTGGTGCCTCTGTGTGCCCATGCCCCTCCCAGCAGCTCCAGCTGGGTCTCGGGAGGGCTGTCTGAGGAAGGGGCTGATCAGTGGTCCAGCCTAAGCTGCCTCTCCTTCCCTTCTTCTCTCCCTCCCCCCAGCATAGCTCCCCTGGGATGAGGATGTCTCTCCAACCCTGGCCCCATAACTGCTAACGGGCAGGGAGGAGGGGCAGGAGGATGGAGAGGAGAAGGTCTGACCAGCTGGGGCCAAAAATGGTCCTCAAGGGTTAGACTAAATCTCTCTGCTTCCACTTGTGTGCGACTGAGGCTTAGTTCACCAGCGTCTGTGACCCATGCCCCTGCCACAAGGCTGGACTGGGCAGCGCTGACTCAGCCCTGCCAGCCAGAGGCCCTGGTTCACCATGGCCTTCTGTGCTGGAAGTTCCTCCCAGTGTCTCACCCAGATCTTCCCACCCAGGAGCCACCCCCTTTGAGCTCTTCCCTGGGTGGATGGCCAGTGTGGAGCAAACATGGGGACCTGTGTCCATGTGATTTGCCCATCCCTGGCTGGGCCTGAGCCGTTCCCTCCTGATTCTGGGCTTGGGCTGCCCACTAGTTTGATCTCTGTTGATGGGGCAGGAGGGTGGCCATAGGTGATGTTAGACTCTCAGCCTCGTCACCTCACTGACCATTAGGTCTGTCTGTTGTACAGATAAGGAGATTGAGGCTCAGAAAGGGATATGATTCACCCAATGTCACACAGCCCTTTGTGGACATCCCCATGTGGCCGTGCCCTGCCTCGTAGGGCCAGGCTCTGCTGGAGCTGCCCACACTCATGTCCTTTCCATCAGCAGCTCAAACAATCTGAGACAGTGCACAGTTCAGTTCAGTCGCTCAGTCATGTCCGAGTCTTTGCGACCCCATGAATCGCAACATGCCAGGCCTCCATCACCAACTCCCGGAGTTTACTCAAACTCATGTCCATTGAGTCGGTGATGCCATCCAGCCATCTCATCCTCTGTCGTCCCCTTCTCCTCCTGCCTTCAATCTTTCCCAGCATCAGGGTCTTTTCAAATGAGGGGGCACAGGGGCCTCTCATTCTCTGTCACCCCCAGAATTAACCTATTCACAGACTGATACACAGCATGCTCTCCGGGACTACCTCGGCTGTCCAGTGGTCAAGACTCTGCGCTTTCACTCCAGGGGGCAGATGTTCCATCTCTGGTTGTGGAACTAAGATCCTACATGCTGGACAATGTGTCCAAAACACAAACCAAACACACCCATGATCCCAACCAAGGAGGTCAAACTCAACTGAGAGTCCTTGGTGACTCACTGCCCTCCTCACCTCTGGCCCGGTGGTGGGGAAGGTATGGGGCCAGAGGTGAGCACCTACCTTGCACTCAGCCCACACTGGACTGTGCCTGATTTGGGAGTTTTGCAAGGTGGTGAAGTTTTCAGGGTCAAAACACGGCTCATGCTTGGTGAGCGCTGACCGTGGGCCAGGCATGGCTCCCAGCATTACTCAGATTACTTTCCTGACCCTGTAGTCAAGAGGCAGGCACTATTTTATCCCCTACTGAGGCACACATGGGGCTCAGAGAGGTTAAGAAACTTGCCCAAGGTCACACAGTCAGTATGTATGGAGCCCACACACAAACCCAAGGAGTCTGATCGCAGTCTTGGAAGCCTTAATAACTACTATGAGATGGCAAGGGGCAGAACAGTGCTGTCTGGTCAGTATTTTCTGCAGTGCACTCCTCCCCTTCCTATTCTTAACTCCCTCCTCAGCTCTGGCCAGCAACAGAGGCTGTCTTTAGAGAGGAGAATGGGCTGGAAGAGTAGAGACTAGGTCCTTAAATGGCGAGCTTTTGGGGACAGACAGGATCGGGCACCAAAACCAGCTCTGTCTCCTTCTAACTCCTCCATCCATTTGATCAATGGGATGCAGTGGGGAGTGAGGGGGAAGACCTTGGATGGGAAATGCTAGGCTAAGGATCTGCCCCGAGCTACCACATGTTCAGGCACAGGTCTGCTCAGGTCTCACACGGGGCAGCTCTGGGGGCAGCCAGGGGGCCCGGGAGGTTTAGCCTGAGCCCTCCTCTCTCTCCCCTTTCAGCCTGAAACTCCTGGACAACTGGGACAGCCTGGCCAGCACATTGACCAAAGTGCGTGAACACCTGGGCCCGGTGACCCAGGAGTTCTGGGACAACCTGGAAAAGGGGACCGCTTCGCTGAGGCAGGAGATGAGCAAGGACCTGGAGGAGGTGAAGCAGAAGGTTCAGCCCTACCTGGACGAGTTCCAGAAGTGGCACGAGGAGGTGGAGATCTACCGCCAGAAGGTGGCGCCGCTGGGCGAGGAGTTTCGCGAGGGCGCGCGCCAGAAGGTGCAGGAGCTGCAGGACAAGCTGAGCCCGCTGGCCCAGGAGATCCGCGACCGCGCGCGCGCCCACGTGGAGACGCTGCGGCAGCAGCTGGCGCCCTACAGCGACGACCTGCGCCAGCGGCTGACCGCGCGCCTGGAGGCGCTGAAGGAGGGCGGCGGCAGCCTGGCTGAGTACCACGCCAAGGCCAGCGAGCACCTGAAGGCGCTGGGCGAGAAGGCCAAGCCGGCGCTGGAGGACCTCCGCGGGGAAGGTTCAAACAGGAAGGAAATAGAGGACCAGGCAAAGTCCAGGTCGGATGATCCAATGCAGGTGCCTTGAAAGAGCTCAGGCAGGAAGTACTGGCTTTGCTGGGAGAAGTGGGCTCCCTGTCCCCAGCGTTTCCCGGGGCAGAGGACATAGTTTCCCAGCCCTCCTGCTCAAGGGCAGCTAAGGTTGAAGGAACCTCAGTGAGCCTGTGGTCTTGAAGGATTGGGGCAGGTTCAAATGAAGGGTGTGGTGCTTGCTCTTTCCTCCCTTACTAATTCAAAATACACTTTACAAAACGCACACCTTTTCCTTTTTCACCAGGGCCTCTTGCCACTATTCACCCTCCCACTCTGCTCAGGAAAAGCTGCAGTTTCCTTAGGCCCTGCTGTGCCAGCCCCATCCTTGGGCTCCAGGCCTGTCAGCCCCCTTTTTTCTGACCTGAGTCAGAAAAACAATCACCACCTCTTGCAGTAACGAGCATATTCCAATCTCCAAGATGCTTTTATATGCATCATTTCACTGCATCCTTTCCTGGATAGGATTAAATGGATGGTATGGATGCAGAAGTTAGAGCTTGTAAATGTGAGGTCATTTCCAAGATTGAACAGCAGGATGGGCTAGGTTGCCCTTTCTAGACCTATGTACTCCTGAGCATCTGTGATTAGTTTTCTTTAAAAAAGTTGCTATCCATTCTAGTTTGTATGGAATTGAGTGTTCCCAGCCAGCCCCTCTTCACACTCAGGTACACACCGCCCGCCCCCCCCCACTCCCCACCCACCATGTGCATGCTTGTGACTTCAAGATCTGCAAAGATCTGGGCAGTGCACTCAGGAGGCTTCTCTTTCCCTCTCCTCTCAGGACCTTTAGCCCTTGGTACTAGATAATCTACCCCTCTTCCATTTCCGGTGTATCTTCACTGCATAAAGGAGTGGGCTTTTTTAGTTCCTAACCATCTGAGTTACGTTAAATGTCAAGCCCAGATATTTGGGTGAGGACATTTTTCAGGTGAGGGTGCAGGGATCCCTGGCCATGTTGGGCCCAAAGAGAAGTCCAGATGGATTTCCAAAAAGAGAGCAGAGGTCTCCTGAGGCAGCTGGATGTCCTGATGCCACCAAGATCTGTCATGGAGTCTTTGACATCAGGCATGGGAGTAAATAGGCTTCCCTGGTGGCTCAGCAGTAAAGAATCCTCCTGCCAATATAGGAGACACAGGTTTGATCCCTGGGTCAGGAAGATCCCCTGGAGATGGGCATGGCAACCCACTCCAGTATTCTTGCCTAGAGAATCCCCATGGGCAAAGGAGCCTGGCGGGCTACAGTCCATGGGGTCACAAGAGTTAGACACAACTTAGCAGCTAAACAACAACAGTAGGAGTAACTAAGCCTTTCTCTATGTCAGCTGAACAGAATATGGGCAGCTCGCCTGGGCTTGAGGTCAGGCTCTGCTGTTTGCTGACTCAGTGACACTGGGCAAGTGCCTTCACACTCGGGAGCCTCAGTCTTATCACTGGAAGAGCGGGGAGGGGAGCTGCTCAAGTAGTCTGTGGTTCTGGAACTCTCCTGCATGAACATCTGATGGGTGGTGGGGACACAAGGGCTGCAGCCTGTGTTGGATGACCTCGGGCTCCTCCTCAATTCCTAGGACACGGGCACCCCACTCCAGTACTGGCCCCAAGGGGACAGTCAGCTCAGCCTATAGTGACAAGGGCAGCCATTTACCAGGTGCCTTGGAGATGCCAGGTGCTGTGCACTCTCTCATTTTCTTCATTCCTTCTCAACAGACCTACAATGGATGGGGTATCATTGTACCCACTTTACAGGTAAGAAACTGAGGCTGATAATGAAGTGACAGAGCCAAGACTAGAGCCCAGGTGTATCTTACTTTAACTACCACCCCCTCAGCCTCCTTTCCCCAAGTGTGGTTGCAGTCGGGGAAGGGGGGTGGGCATGCGGCCCAGGCAGTGCACGTCCACTCCAGAATTTTGATGAACACACAGAGTCTCAACTCAGTATGTCATTATGATAATGATGTAAAATGCCACGTGCAAGGCCTGGCAAGGAGCACACACTCAATCATGTTACACAGCACTTGACAGTGTATTCAAATACTGCCAGACCTAGCGTCCCCTTTGCTCCTCCACGCCAAACTGTCCATGCAGGCAGGCTAGGTAAGCCCATTCCTACCTCTTTCCACCCAGCTGCTAAGAGGTGGGTGGGGCACCAGCCCCAGGCCTGCTTGAGTTGGAGTCAGTCCTGAGCCAGCCCACAGAAGAGGCCCCACGAATTCTTAGCCCAAACATACATGGCACGTGCAGGACACCCCACTCACGGCAGTTTCTCATCCAGCTTTATTGGAAGGCCTGCACACCCTGGGGTGGGCCAGGTCTTGGGGGAGGGGGAGGGGCACTGAGAATGCTGTTCTTGTAAGTGACCTTTGGTGGCAGTCCTGGCAGGCTGCTGGACCCAAGGAGCTAGTAGGATGGATAGACGGGTGGACTTGGGGTTCTGAGATCTCAGACGGCCTCAGGGTGGAGACTGTGTGGGACTGGCGGCAGATTCCCAGAAGTCACTGAACTTGCCCTTGAACGAGCTCCAGTAGTCTTTCAGGGAGCTGAAGCTCTCAGTCATCCAGTCTCTGGGGGTCAAAAAAGTGAGGGGAGCACATGGGGTGCGGGTGAGAGTTGTCTCTAGAAAGTGACAACTATGGGGCTCCCACCCTACCCCCACTGGCACTCCGCCCCCACCCTCTCAACCCCTCCCAGCAATGCCCCAAAACCTCAGGCTGGGACCCCCTATAGCTGCACCCCAGGAAAGGATGCCGAGGGTAATGATGGGAACACAGCCAAGGTCCCCCGGAGTTTCTCCAGCTGTGGGCAGATGGTGGATCTGAAGCAAGCTGGAGTGACTGATTTGGAAGATGTGTAAGGTCAGGACTGCCATTCTAGTGGAGGCAAGTGATGCCCCCTACAATTGTACATCCTGGTGGCTCCAGGCGGGGTGGGGCAGAGGGAGGCAGTCTCTCATTTGGACAGAGGGTTGATTAGCTGTGTGATCTGGGGCAGGTCACTTGGTTAAGTGGGCCTTGGTTTTCTTGTCTGCAAAATGGGGAAATAATATCCACTCTACAGTGGGTCCTGAGGACTAAAAGTGTTTGTGAACACCTCTGCTATGGAAATGCCAATGCAGATGGAGTGGAGGTGGGGAAGGTGGGTGGGGCTAGCAGAGGACTGGTGGGCAGGGGCAAGGTGGGAGAGGAAGGACCGACTTCTGCTCACATGGGCCCGAGGATTTGAAACAAGTCAGAAACACACACACACACACAGTGCTGAAATTGCTTTGAAAGTGAAAGTTGCTCAGTTGTGTACAACTCTTTGCGACCCCATGGACTATACAGTCCATAGCATTCTCCAGGCCAGAATACTGGAGTGGGTTGCCTTTCCCTTCTTCAGGGGATCTTCCCAACCCAGGGATCGAACCCAGGTCTCCTGCATAGCAGGCGGATTCTTTACCAGCTGAGCCACAAGGGAAGCCCAGGAATACTGGAGTGGGTAGCCTCTCCCTTCTCCAGGGGATCTTTCTAACCCAGGATCAAACTGGGGTCTCCTGCATTGCAGGTGGATTCTTTACCAACTAAGCTACCAGAGAAGCCCCAGAAATTCCACTGGGTGGATCCAAACCTCCAATCAGATTATCAGAAAAGGAAAATGGACGTGAGGGCAAGGAAGAAGAAAGGAGGATGACAAAGGGAGGCGAGGTGGGATGCGGTGCCTCTCCATCATCTCTTCCTGCAAGGGGGCCTGTTTTACAGAGAGAAAGGAGGTTCAGCGAGGCGCAGGTCCTAGGTGGGCGTGGGAGAGACGCGGGCCCCCCGTGGGGGCTCTCACCAAGTCCCGGGCAGGTAGCGACCAAAGGCAGGAAAGTGAGGGTTTACCTGGCCTGCTGGGCCACCTGGGACTCCTGAACGCTGCTCAGGGCATCCTTGGCAGTCTTGGTGGCCTCCTTCACATAGCCCTGCATTTTGTCCAGAAGGGATTCCTCCTCGGCCCTGGTAGTTTCTGGGAGAAGAGCAGGACTGAGTGTGGTGGATCAGCTTCTGGGGAGCCCTTGGCTCCTGACAGCCCCCCATTGGGGTCTGGTATCCCCCAGCCACTTGCCAAGCCACCCCCTTCCCACGCCCAGCCCAGACCCCACCGGCTGCTTACCGGGCAAGACCAGGAGAGCCAGGAAGGCAGCAACAAGGAGCAACCGGGGCCGCATGGTGCCTTGGTTCCTGCAGGGAGGGGTCCTGTGAGCCCTTCCTCAAGTCCCCACCCCCCACCAGGCAGCCCTCCCTGGGGAGATGCAGTGGGCCTGAGCCAGGTCAAGTCGGGAGGAGAGAGGGCTAATATGGGGGAGGTTATGGGCTTTCAGAGAGGGGACTGGGGGACCCAGGGCAGAGAGAGCGGGGGGAGGCATGAAGCAGGAAACCCCCAGATCAGGAATCAAGACACCAGGATTCTGGTCAGGTTTCTGCCACTAACAAGCTGAGTGACTCTGGGTGACTCTCTGCCCCCTCCAGGGCTCAGGTTTTCTGTTTGGGGCATGACTGGGATGTCTGAGTCTTCTAATCCTGAACATGCAGAGCGAGCGGCAAAGGGAGCCAGTGCCAGTCCCAGCTCCACCACTAGGCTCTGTATAGCTTTGGGCAAGTGACCTTCCCCTAGGGACCTCGATCTCCCCAGAATGCCTGGGGAGAGGCACTCATCAAGACTTGAGGCTTCCCCAGCTCTACAAGCGCTTCAGGCTTCGCTGGCTGGGCACAGACCCCCACCTGCCCCTCCCCATCTTGCTCCCCTTCTCCCCCCAACCCCTCAGGGAGTCTTACCTGGAGCAGCTGCTTCTTGAGATGAACTGCATACGAAGGCAAGAGGATTCTGACCTGTTTTATATTGTCCCCCGGACACAGGGCAGCATGCGGGCCCAGGCAGCCGGGCAAAGGTCACCTGCTGATCAACCTAGACCAGACCCTGACAGAGGGTGGCCAGAGGCACCCAGGCCCACTGGGAGTTGGGAAATCTCTAGAAAGCTGAGGGTGCCCACCCCACTCTCTGCCATCCCTATGGTTTGGAGCTGGGGTGACCCCATTCCTTCTGAGCAGCCTGGTTCCCCAGGGAGAGGCTAGTGAGATGGGAGAAGGGATTGGGGGACAAACATTGTCCTTTCACCCTGGGCTTCGAGGTCCTTCCCCACTTTAAGCCCTGACAACAGCCTGTGAAGTGGGGGTGAAGTGAGAGGGGAATTGGCTTCTTCAGACTTGGCCACAACTCCCCAGCTGGCTGGGCTGGGGAGTCTAGAGTGAAGTCACAGAAGACCTGTGGGCAGGGGCTTGTGCAGGAGGTGGGACACAGTTGAGTGCCCACAGCCCCCTCCCCAGGATCTCCATCTCTGGGCTTCAGTCCCGGGTGCAGCTGACCCAGAAATTTCCCTGAGCTGATCCCTCTGGCAGGGGGTGGTGGGAGAAGGTCAAAGGCTTATGAGCCCCAGGCCTTCTGTTTTACCACCCCCTCTCCCCATCCTGCCCTCTGGACTCACTGATAACGTCCCCAAGGGGCAGACTGTGCAGCTGGGACTGAGGCCAGCGCTGAGTAACTCTTGACCTCAGACCACAACTTCCGCAGCTTAGAAATACCAGTCCTCGTAGTCCCCTGGCTGGGGAGGCAGTCAAGGCTGTGGTGAGGCTGGTGTAGTGGAGAGAGGGGCCAGATGAGCTCGAAGGGACAGTCAGCTGTCTGGGAGATGCCTGGCCTTTTTCTGAGGTGAAGTGTCCCCTGGGCTCACACCAGGAGCTGCAGCCTGGATGGCAGCATTAGGGAGCTCTGTCTTCCAGTGAGGTCTCAGAGCCAGGAAATTCTAGGTTTAAATGGTGCCTTTCACTCCTACAGATATGACCCAGGGCCAGAGAGCTAACAGCTCAGTGCCTCAATATTCTCCTATGTAAAATGGGGCTAGAACACTGATACTCCAGAATTGTTGTGAAATATAAGAGATAGGTAAAAGCAGCTGGTCCATGAAGGGGGCTCAATAAATCTCTCCTCCTTTCTCCCAAACACCTGTCCTTCCTTAGACAGCATAGTCTGAAGGCAGGAGGAGCCTCCAATGTAGAATTAGGGCTTTGGGCAGGTGGCCATCTTACCAGGAAGAAGCAACTAAACCCACCGTGGGAAGTCAGAGGCCCGAGAAAGCTAGACCTAGCTCTACCTTCAGAATTCTTTATCTGTGGCGAAAACTTGAAATTTCTCCTTAGAGATTCATTCCTTTCACTTAGACCTGGTTATCTGCTAAAATGCAAATGATTCCTGCAAAGTAGACATTATTAGGGCTCCCGTGGTAGTTCAGTTGGTAAAGAATCTGCCTGCAATGCAGGAGACCCCAGTTCGATTCCTGGGTTGGAAAGATCCCCTTAAGAAGAGATAGGCTATCTGCTGTAGTATTCACAGGCTTCCCTGGTGGCTCAGATGGTAATAATCTGCCTGCAATGTGGGAGACCTGGATTTGATGCCTGATTGATCTCCTGGTTGAGGAGATCCCCAGGAGGAGGGCATGGCAACCCACTCTAGGATTCTTGCCTGGAAAATCCCCATGGACAAAGGAGTCTGGCAAGCTGAAGTTCTGGGGGTTGCAAAGAGTCAGACATGACTGAGCAACGGTACACAGCACAGACATTATTAAGCCCATTTTAATAGGTAGAAACCTAAGGCAGGGCTGGAGACATACCCAGGTGCCCATATTCCATCCATGGCAGAGTTGGGAACCAGAAGCCAGGTCTTCTAATACGCACACTGGGACCAAACCTCATGGAGAGATGAGGCCCTTGGAGGATTATCAGTCACTCAGAGTGCATCAGTTTCGGCCTCCTCCTGAGCACAGACTGTGGTGATGGGGCGGGAAGGAGAGGAAGGTGATTGGGAGGTCCTGAAGGATTTGGACTTTGGGGAGAGATGGCAGCCGTGTCCACTTCCCTCTTCATTCTGATCTGTTCCTTCTCCCCAGAAGTGAGGGTCACAGTGGGAGTCCAGATTCCAGGCTGGGCTGGGACATGCTGGGGTGGACTGGCTGGAGCCCTTGGCCCTGGTTCCTCCAACTCCCCTGCCATGTGTGTGGAGCGTCTGGAGGAGGCCGCCCTCCCTCTCCTGGGTCGCAGTGGGCCAGTGAGCCCAGGGAGGTCAGAAGATGTGGGCGGAGAGAGCCAGCAGCGTGGTGTCAAGCTGGGTAGAGAACCAGAGAGTGTGGCCTCTGCAGCTGGGTTGAAATGCCCTGGGCCGGGACCTGACCTCATTCCGAGGGCTTGGTGCCTCTGTGTGCCCATGCCCCTCCCAGCAGCTCCAGCTGGGTCTCGGGAGGGCTGTCTGAGGAAGGGGCTGATCAGTGGTCCAGCCTAAGCTGCCTCTCCTTCCCTTCTTCTCTCCCTCCCCCCAGCATAGCTCCCCTGGGATGAGGATGCCTCTCCAACCCTGGCCCCATAACTGCTAACGGGCAGGGAGGAGGGGCAGGAGGATGGAGAGGAGAAGGTCTGACCAGCTGGGGCCAAAAATGGTCCTCAAGGGTTAGACTAAATCTCTCTGCTTCCACTTGTGTGCGACTGAGGCTTAGTTCACCAGCGTCTGTGACCCATGCCCCTGCCACAAGGCTGGACTGGGCAGCGCTGACTCAGCCCTGCCAGCCAGAGGCCCTGGTTCACCATGGCCTTCTGTGCTGGAAGTTCCTCCCAGTGTCTCACCCAGATCTTCCCACCCAGGAGCCACCCCCTTTGAGCTCTTCCCTGGGTGGATGGCCAGTGTGGAGCAAACATGGGGACCTGTGTCCATGTGATTTGCCCATCCCTGGCTGGGCCTGAGCCGTTCCCTCCTGATTCTGGGCTTGGGCTGCCCACTAGTTTGATCTCTGTTGATGGGGCAGGAGGGTGGCCATAGGTGATGTTAGACTCTCAGCCTCGTCACCTCACTGACCATTAGGTCTGTCTGTTGTACAGATAAGGAGATTGAGGCTCAGAAAGGGATATGATTCACCCAACGTCACACAGCCCTTTGTGGACATCCCCATGTGGCCGTGCCCTGCCTCATTGGGCCAGGCTCTGCTGGAGCTGCCCACACTCATGTCCTTTCCATCAGCAGCTCAAACAATCTGAGACGGTGCACAGGGGCCTCTCTCATTCTCTCCCACCACCCAGAACTAATCTGTTCACAGACTGAAACACAGCATGCTCTCTGGTACCTCCCCAGCTGTCCTGTGGATAAGACTGCACACTTCCACTGCAGGCGGCACAAGTTCGATCTCTGGTTGGGGAATTAAGACCCTGCATGCCACACATTATGGCCAAAAAACAAAAAGACACACTCCCATTCAGTGAGGGCAGACTCAACTGAGAGTCCTTGGTAACTCATTGACCTGCTCACCTCTGGCCCATTAAGGGGGAAAGGGATGAGGCCAGAGGTGAGCGACTACCTTTGCTCCCAGCCCAGGCAGGACTCTGCCTCATTTGGGAGTGTTGCAGTGTGGTGAAGTCTTCAGGGGCAAAACACGGCTTATGCTTGATGAGCGCTGACTGTGGGCCAGGCATAGTTCCCAGCATTACTCAGATTATCTCCCTGACTCCCTGAAGCCCAGAAGGCATGCACTGTTTATGCCCTACTGAGGCACATGGGGCTCAAAGAGGTTAAGAGACTTAGCCGATGTCACCCAGTCAGTATGTACGGAGCCCACTTGCAAAGCCAAGGAATCCAACTCCAGCATCAGAAGCCTTAATAAAGTACTGCAAGATGGCCCAGGCTGCTCCTGGAAGGAGGAGCTCCCTGACGCTGGAGGTGACCATCAGTGGGGTTGGACACTGCCAGGTAGTGGGGACTCTACAGGAGGGGTACAAGCTATCTTAAACCCCATGGACATCAAGTCGCTCCTGGTCTATGAAACAGTGGAGACACGGGAAGTCAGGATCAGCCCAGCTGTGGACTCTTCCAGTGGCAGATTACAGAAGCCCATCCATGTGCGGGGCATGGCGTTCATGAAGGCAGCCAACAGTGTAATACGATGGATTTCATCTCCTTGTCACCCAAGGTGATGTGTGTGGCCCAGCAGAGGGGCACAAACTGGTCAGGATGAGCCACCTTCTTGCTGGATGTCTTTCTGTGTGTGACCTCACTTGCAGAGGATGTTGGAAGTCCAAGTAGAAGACCGGGATGCCACCACCACCCCCCTTCCCCATCTCCTGATGAGAGGCGCCC